AGATTAGTTTATGATGGCCATCCATAGAAGCAGATGAGGAAGCATGCTGAGGGTGTCTGCACAGTGCAGACTGAAGGCTTCAGTCTAAGGTCTTTGGTTCACTGTAATGATCCATGCACATCTATATCAGATGGTCTGCAATGGAAGGCTAACAAGCTTACCCCAGAAGGCTGAAAGATCCAAGGTGGAAGCCGAAGAGTCTGCACTAGAAGCCAGGAGACACCCAAGCTGGAGGCAAAGACTAGAGCTCCTCCGAAGAATGGAAGCCCGTCTATCCTTCCTCATTTCCCTTTTATATCATCTAGGTCGATCTTCTATACCCTAGGTTGTGGAACTGCTGAGATGCTTTACTTAAGCTTCTAAACTTCTCAAAATGACACAATCAACCAACCACTACACCCAGCATTTGGGAAGCTGAAGCAAGAGGACCGGTACGAATTTGATGCTAGCCTAAAGTACACAGCAAAACCATGCCTCAAAAAAGAAAAAACCTATCTGTGACCCGGCTACCACCAGCTTTCTTTTTGGCGTCTCCATTTTCTCTCTTTTTTTTAAATTTTAAGACAGGGTCTCAAATAAAAGTGCAGGCTAGCCTTAAACTCATGGTGATTCTCCTGCCTGAGCCTCTCAAGTGCTGGCATTCCAAGTGTGTACTACCACTCTGAAGTTTCTCCACTTTCTAACTGCTCTCATCTAGACTGAGCCACGGATAGTTCCTAATGGTCATGCCTCCTCTCTGGCCAGGAGCCTCTGTCTCTGCTGTACTCTAAGCCTAGAACCCCCTTTTCTTACTGGATCCTGATCTGCTCCACTCAGCAAAGGACTGTGGAAGTCCGAAGAGTCTTTGTACCTTACGTTGAGTCATTTTCTCAATGGAAACCTCCCCGGAGCACACTCCTTCCCCACATTTAGTCAGTCCCTACCCCATGCCTCGCCCCCGTGCTAGAGATTGAACCTACATCCTTGCACACACTAGACAAGCACTTCAACGTCCTTGATCAAGTCTCTTTTCCAGGTTTTTGCAACCTAATGTTCTGTCCTTCCAAACGCTTACTGAAGATGTAGTTTAGCTATGAGCTGTCTATTTGATAAATATCTGTCTCAGGAGACTGTGAGCACATTGGGAATAATACATGTTTATGCTCACTCAATGTGTCACCCACCAGTACCAGCTTGTGGCTCCACAAGTAAGTGTTTGATGAATGTTTGTTTGTGTTTGAGACAGTCTCACAATGTAGCTCAGGACAATATCAAACTTGCAGCCAGCTCTTGCCTTCGCTACTTGAGTGCTGGTGTAGATACTGCTCTTGAGGTAGGATAATTACAGGAAGAGTCACACTCTTGGTAGAAAAAGGAGTATTTATCAGGTACTGTAGTAAGTGTCAAAGATATTGGAATGTACAAGCCTTTTTTTCTAACAAAGTTTAAAGCCTAGTGAAAGCGGGGAGATAAGACATTAAATAAATAATTAGAACAAAATAGACCTAGAAAAATGTTATGTAAAAATTATGGGCTTTTTTTTTTTCTTTCCTTTTTAAAGCAATGGAGATCTAACCCAGAGCCTTGCTCTTGCTAAAGAAGTTAAAATGCAAGACGCTGTTGGTACGAAGAGTAAAGGGATTCTTCCAGGCTAGAGTAGCAAGATTACCTTAGGAAATGGTACACATCTGGAGAACAGCTCCACAAGAGGGAAAAAGGTGCAGAAGCTGCAACTCAGCAACAGCAACAAAGCTGCTCTTTCTGGTCTCCAATAACGGTATGCGGGGAAATTCAGCAAACACTGAGCGTATAGTTGGTGAAATCAAGAGCCCATCCTACCTTTCTCCCGCAGGAGGACAGAGCGGCTTGTGTTGAAGAAGCAGCTGCAAAGGCCCAGGCAAAGGTCGCCAGGGAAGAGTTCAGTCGGTACCCCCGCGCCATAATCCCCACCCAGTCAGCGCTCTGGTTTCCATAGCAGTGTTTTCTCCTCCGGGAAGAAAACAGGCTGTACAGGATCTTCGGAGAAATCGAAGCTTGTAAGCCCCAGCGCAGCAACGCTGGGGTAACGAGGTAACTCACCCCACCATCGCGCCCGGTACCACTACTGACTCTCCAAACTACGCCAGCCCGCCCGTCCCTTCTCCATGGCGACGACGCTCCCAGTCAAACCAAGGCGGCCCCCGAGGGACAAACTGCAGAGTTCGCGGCCTCCCGGCTGCGCGCGCACAGCTTTTCCCCAGGCCCCGCCCTTCCGGTGTCTCCTAGGTAACCAGCAGAGCGCAGCTGGGGGTTACCTCTGCGTTCTCTCCGCGTCAGCGGGCTCGCACTCGCCATGCTTCCCAAGCTGGCTCCTGTTGCGGAGCAGTCCTGTAGCGTGGAGGACCCGGCCGCACAGCCATGTAGGCCCTCGGTCAAATGGGATCTGGAGTCGTCCACAGATTATGAGATCGTAGGCAAGGCGACCACGAGCTCTGCCGTCGCCAGCAGCTCGGACTTCCGGCGTGACAGGTTCGAGCGGCGGCAGGAAGTCAATGCAGGGTCCGGCCCGCAGGTCATTTTCCTGCCGCCGCGGACGGCGTACCACCCGGTGCTATTCAGGTGCGGCCCGGGCCTCCGGAGCGTTCGTCAGGCCCTTCAGTCTCTCGTCAGACCTGCGATCTCTCGGCCGAGCGAACCCGTAGTTTCGGAGCCCAACCCCTAGTCTCCCAGGGACTCTCGGTTTTTCACAAAACTGGTCCCAGTTCCTTCCCAGTCCAGCTTTTGGGCCGACTTCTTGAAGAAGCCGGGAATTGCCATCTCCATCGCGCGTTTCAGTCCACCGGTCTCAGCGCTCTGCGGGAGGGGCCAGACCCGCCCTACACCCGTTTTCTTATCCTGCTCATTTCTCAATGGCTCAGGAAAAAAAAAAAAAAAAAACTCAATTTCTTCTGCTTCCCCCATGTCCTCACAAACCCCAGTTTCCCCCACTTCCTTCCATTCTTCCTACAGAAGACTCGTGCTGTAAAGTGATTTGATTCAAAATGATGTTTGTAGTTTATTTTTTGGATGCAGGGTCTCCTATGCAGTTCAGGAAGGCTTTCAGCAAGCGTTGTGGCCCTGGCTGGTCTCAAACTTGCACCACCATGCATGGCAAAATGGTCAGAATTATAATTTCTTATTTGAAAGGGAATATTTCCAGTAGTCACCTCCACATTCCAAACTTTATAAATTTGTCTTTGTCTTTTAAAATCTTTCACTGTTGTTGTTGTTGTTGTTGGAGACTGGGTCATGCTGTTAGTGCAGGCTGGCCTTGCTCTCACTATGTAGCCCAGTCGGGCCTTGAACCCGCTGTGATCTTCCTGCCTCAGTTTCCTGGGTGCTGGGATTACAGGCATGCGCCACCACTCCATGCTTTTTTTTTTTAATTAAAAGAGAAATAGGATTTGAGGACCTTTGTGTGTATGAACCTTGACCTCTGAACTAACCTTGCCCATTAGCTCCTTTCTGCTGTGTTGTCTTGCACTGAAGTGAGAAAAACGGCAGTGGGTGGTTGGAAGTGTTTGGGTGTTCATACTAGTTTATAAATATAAACACATTTACAGGAGTACTGGTTGAAATGAAATAGAAACAAATTTCTGATCCTTTGAAATGTTATATCCTTTCAACATGCCTTTTTTGTTCTACTTATAAAACTAGTGAGCCAGTGGCACACACCTGTAATTTTCTGGAAGGCTAGGGCAAAAGAATTGAAGTTTGAGCTCAGCCTGGGCAGCTAAGCAATTTAGCTAGAACTTGTTTCAAAGTAATAAATAAATAAATAAATAAATAAATAAATAAATAAATAAATGGCTGGGAGTGTAGTTTAGTGCAAAGGCCCTGGTTTCGGTCCCCAGTATGGCCAAAAGAAGGAAGGGGGGGAGAAGGATACTTATAGACAACTCAAAGGAGACAGGTAAAGTGAGTGACCCGAGATGACCATTGTTAACATTTTGATGTGTATTATTCCTGGTCCATTCATATTTATACTTTTAAAACCATAAATTACAAAACTTTATTTTTCTGTACTTAGGACAGGGTCTGTAGGGTCTCACTACAGAGATAAGTGATTCTTCTGTTTTCAGCCTCCCAGATGCTGGGATTACAGGCGCATACCATCAGGCCCAGTCTCAATAGCCGTCTCAGCGTGCCCCGCGTGCAGGGCCGGCATGGCACTTCTGGGATCGAACCTGGGCACTGCACTCTGCCTAAGCAAGTGCTTTAGTCTGCTATCAGGCCGACCCCTTATTTATTTATTTATTTATTTATTTATTTATTTTGGTGGTACCAGGGATCAAACTCAGGACCTTGTGCTTGCTAGGCAAGTACTTATTCCACTAGCTATCTCCCTGGTCCCAAAAATTTATTGTTTAGCAATTAAATTTTCCTCCATCTAATATATCAGTTTTATATGCAGTCATGTATTTTATTATATAGTTTATCAAGTTTTTCACTTGTCACATTGTTATACATTTACTTTCCGTAATCTCGAAAGAATATATGACTTACCCCCTTTAGAGACAGAGTCCTGTAGTACAGGTTGGCATTGAGCTCAGGAGGATCCTTTTGTTATAGCCTCTGGAGCACTGGGATCAGGCCTCTTCCACTACACTTGGTTTAAAGATACATATTAAACAACTTAATGCTGTAACCAAAATATTAAGGTGAAAAACTCAGTGACTGGCAATATTCATGGTGGGTCAATTTCTCACTTTGTCCAAAATACTCCCTTTTTAAGCCTAAAATACCTAAAGTGCTGACGAGATAGCTCAGAGGACTGAGCACCTGCTTAGGCAAGCACAGGGACTAGGGTTCAATCCCTGGTCCTGCATGCCACACCAGCCCCGCCCCGGGGGCATGCTGAGCCAGCAGCCACTGAGTCCAGGCTTGGTGGCGCACACCTGTAATCCCAGTGCTGGGGAGGCTGAAAACAGGAGGATCACTACAAGTCTGATCTGTGTAGTGAGACCCTGTGCCAAATACATACATAAATAAACCTAGAGCACCTAGCTCTATTTTATCCCACTCCTTTCCTTCCTTCCTTTTTTCCTTGCCCTCTCCCTCCCTCCTTTCTCCTTTCTTTCCTAAGATAGGGCCTCACTCTGTAGTTTTGAGCTCACCAGGTGGCTCTTGAATTTACAGCAGTCTTCCCGCCTCCCAAGCATTGCCTTTATAGGCCTGTGCTACCACATCCAGCTTTAAACTTTCTTATAGTCTACCCCTCCTTATACAGATTAATGGATTTCATTTTGGCGGGTTGATATCTGTACATAATGTATTCTGATCATTTTTAACTCTGTTCCCCTCCTTGCCCTACCATTACCCCTGGTTCCGTATATGGGGACGAGTTCCATGCACACATTTTGTTCACATCCAGCTGTTTTTAGTTACTTTTTTCATAGCTGACACATAGTATCTGATACCATAATTTAAAAGAAGAAAGGTTTATTTTGGCTCACAATTTGTAGAGCTTTCAGTCCTTAGTTGGCTGGCTTCAAGGCAGGATAGCATGACAGAGAAGAAGCGTTCTTCCTTAATTTCGGGTGTTGGGTATTTCATCCAAGCAATGAGAGAAAAGTGCCTGAGACATCTCCAAGCAGCCATCACTCCAGCTATAACCCATCTGTGACTTAATTATGATGAGTGTCACTCACGATTCAGTCACCTCCCAAAAGCCCCACCTAGGAGCACAGGAGGCTTGGGGAACATCTGGACGTCAACCATAACATCATCCTTCCTGTTATC